AGGCAAAAAAGGCTGTGGAGGAGTCACTTGCTTTACCTGTTATGGAATACCTAGGGAGATTCAGTCAGACCAAGGGTCCGATTTTACTGCCAAATTATTTAAGGAGGTCATGGATAATTTAAGCATTCAATACTTTAAATTAAGTGTATACCATCCTGATTCCCAAGGAGCATTGGAAAGATGGCATCAGACCCTAAAGACCATGCTGAGGGCTTATTGCTAGGATTACCCAAATGATTGGGATAAAGGTATCCCATTCACATTATTTGCTGTTAGATATGCTCCAAATGAATCAACTCAGTTCATTCCATTTGAATTGATACTCTGACATGATGTAAGAGGACATTTAAAATTAATTAAGGAAAAGTTGATAGGTCCGAAGTCAGAGATCTCACAGTTGGATTATGTATCTGAGGTGAGAGAAAGATTAAACAGAGTCAATGAATTAGCTAGATAATATTTGAAGGTGGCACAGTACCCAATGAAGCAAGAAGAGTTAAGAAATCTAAAACTCATACTTTTGCCCATGGGGATAAAGTATTGGTGCTGTTACCAGTGGTCGGAGATCCCTTCAAAGCAAAGCCTTGTGGTCCCTATCAGATTGAGAAGAAGTTAAGTCAAGTGAATTAGCCAGTAAAGATGCCAGATAGGAAAAAAAAAATTGGGTATGTCATGTGAATATGTTGAAACCTTACTATGACAGGGAAAGGGGACGGAGGAAACAGGTATTTGTTACTGCCACTCAGAGTGAGGAATCAAATCCAGGTGTTTAGGATTTTGAATAACTTGAATAATGAGGAAGTCCTTAAGGAATGGGATAGGGTAGTAAGCTATCTGTCTCAGAGACAGAGAACTGAATTGAAAGACTTGTTACAGTGCTATGAGGACATACGTACAAATAGAATAGAAATAGAAATACTAATGTCATAGCACACGACGCTGAAGTAGGGAACGCTGTTCCAATAAAACAACACCCCTACAGACTTAACTCTCTCACAGCAGCACAGGTTCAGAAAGAAGTGGAAGTGATGCTCCAAGAAGACATCATAGAGACAAGTCAAAGCCAGTGGAGTTTGTTGATTGTGTTGCTTCCCAAACGTGATGGTACTCAACAGATCTACTTAGATTATCGGAAGGTCAACGCTGTAACAGAATCTGACTCATATCCAATTCCAAGGCTGGAGGATTGTGTGGAAAAAGTAGACAAGCCACTTATATCACAAAGTTGGACTTACTGTGCAGTTACTGGAAAGTACCTTTGTCAGAAAGAGCAAAAGAAGTTTCTGCGTTTGTAACCCCAAATGGGCTGTATCAATTTAAAGTAACTCCCTTGGAATGAAAAACGCACCAGCCACTTTTCAAAAGCTTATGAGTAGAGTTGTGGCAGGATTGGCTAATTGTGCCGTCTACATAGTTGACTTGGTGATCTTTAGCCATTGGTGGAAAGATCACATGGAGCGAATAATGGCAGAGCTTGTTGAGAGACTACGGAAGGCAAAGTGGGTCATAAACTTGGCAAAAACAGAATTTGCAAAGGCGGAAGTGACATTCTTAGGGCACAATATTGGATCACACCGAGGAACCTGAAGACAAAGGCCATTGAGGAATTTCAAAGGCCATCCTCAAAGAAGGAAGTGCCATAATTATTAGGATTGAGCGGATTCTACAGGAAATTTGTACCAAACTTTAGCATGGTGTCACGGTTGACAGATTTGTCAAAAAAGGAACAAGAAACATGGGAGAACAATGCCAGGAGGCATTTGAGAATTTCAAAGCAATGTTAACCACCACACAAGTTTTAGCCATGCCAAATGTTTTGAAACCCTTCAAACTTGCCATTGATGCAAGCAATGTAGCTGTTGGAGTTGTGTTGTTACAGGAGGATGGATTCTGGAATTGAACAGTCAATCAGTTATTTTTCAAAGAAACTCAATATCCACCAAAAAAAATTCTACCACTGAAAAAGAGTTATTGAGTTTGGTAATGGCCTTACAACATTTCAATGTTTACATCGCAAACAATGCATCAAAGATGGTTGTGTATACTGATCACAATACTTTGACATTTCTGGAAAGATTTAAAGGCAAGAACACCCGATTATTTCATTGGAGCCTCATGTTACAAGCATTTAATTTACAGACTATACACGTTGCCAGTTGTGTAAATATTATCGCCAGTAGTTTATCATGAGTTTAAGAGAAATATTTAGATAAGATAGACACAGTAGCGTTCAATGTTGTATGCATATAGAGAATTAGTATAAAATGTGTAACTCTAGATTAATGAGCTATGGATCTAGTAATATAATGGAGTTAAGGTTTTAAAAGACAATAAAGCCATCTTTTCATAATGATGGTTCATTTCTTTTCTTCAGTGTGGAGGTGTTGCAAAGTTTGGTCGAGTACTTGTGGAGATTGGGAGGCAGGAATTTAGAATTTGGTGTTTGTAAAATGCTGGGGACAGGGGGAAGCATTGCGTGGTCCCTTTAAAAGATGATGTGCTTTTTCTGTGCTTGGTGATTTAAAATGGATGTCTGTGAGCAACAGCTTTGAAAGTTTGCAAGTACACAGAGTGCCCCAATTGAAACATTTGTACTGAAAGGTCGTACAGTTAGCAGGCTAAGCACAGTTTTTCCTGAGATAACACATTTTGAATTTAGTCAATCAATTTGAATTAGGCTCTTATATACCAAAAATCAATTAAATTTAAATCTGATGGTTTTGACAACATAGGACCAATCCTATTGTAAGAAATATTGGTATGTCATCAAGAGTATAAAAGAAGGGGGCAGTTGGACAAAGACCAGAGAGCTAACAGCCCTCAGGAGAGAATTGCTGGCTGTCTCAGCCTCCTCCTCCTGCACCATTTAAATAACAATGGTACCCTTGGCACAACTAGTAATATTCCTGACAGAAGAATCGACAGAGAAGACATAGAACATTCCGGAAGACATGTAACCCGGCTGTAATTTCAAGAGATTAAATACTGTTTTTATTTTACATAAGTCAGATTTGTATTTAGTGGAACAGCATACCATCAGAATCTTGTTTTATTTGGGAATAGTCAGTAGTTAGAAGGGATAGATTCAGTTTGTTAATAGTTAATTTGTTCACTGTTGAATAAATTGTTACTTATTGCGTGTGTGTGTGTCAGGGATTTATTTTATTTAACCACTACAAGTTGCTGAGAGGCAAGTTACACCACTTTTTATGTTCGTTTTACAGACTTTAGGGCGAGGTTTGAGTTATAAAGAAAGGCTTTATAACAATTCATATAGAATATTTGGTCAGCATGGACCAAAGGGTATGTTTCTGCACTGTACTTCTCTATAACACTGGAACGGTGCAGAGATTTAGAAGGATAATATTATAAATGTGACAGCATAGATATCAGGAAAGGGTTGGCAGGCTGGGGCACTATCCTCTTGAAAACCAAAGGCCGAGGAGTGACCTGTAGAGGTGTTTCAAAGCTTTTCAATGGAGTGGCTACAGAGGGAATGTTTGCTGCTGTTGGGAAAGAGCAGAAACAGAGGCTGTCAATATCAGAAAGTCCCCTGAGAAATCTCATCAGGAATTCCAGAAGGAATCTCATCCCCTAGAGCGGTTAAGAAGGCGTTTATCACACAGAGAGGTTTATAAAATCACGAGGGGGGTAGGTAAGCCTAATGGCAGGTGTCTTTTCTGTAGAGAGAGGGATTTCAAGGCTGGAGGGCATATTTTTTAAGATGACAGGAGAAAGATTTTAAAAAGACATAAAGGGCAACTTTTTTTTTTACACAGAGTGTAGTGCATACGTGGAGGAAGTGGTGGATGTGGGTACAGTTACAACGTTTAAAAGACATTTGGATAAGAACATGAATAGGAAAGGTTTGGAGGGATATGGGCCAAGTGCAGGCAGGTGGGACGAGTTTAGTTTGGGATTATGGTCGGCACAGACCGATTGGACCAAAGGTCTCCATGACTCGAGGGATTGGGGCAGAATGTTGAACTTGCTCCCAGAGGAACTGAATCGTATCCATGTATTTGATGAGGCGGGTAGGGAAACAAGGGAAAAACAAGAGAGAAGGGGATGGAGGGTTAGGGCAGTGGATTTAAGAGAATGAGAGTAAAACACCAGCAGGGACTGGTCAAACCAAATGATCTGCTTCTGAGTTGCAACTCAATGCAATACCATCACCGTGTCTCATACAAAGATCCGAAGATACAGGTATAACCAGGCAGATGGTCAGCTGGGACAAAGAAACTATCAAGACACGTACAGCTGAGAAAAGACTTTTATTCAAGTCGCTTAACAATTTGTAACGGGTCGAGCAACAAGAACCCACAGTTTTAAGTCTGCAGTGATCTGGTACAAAAAGCATGCAACGGCATTTTGTTGTTAACGCAGGTTCTGAAAAGTATCCCCGCCACTCTACGGCAGTGCTTCCAGGTCATGGTCACCCAGGAGGTCACAGCTCGTACGATAAAAGGGAGACGCACACATC